TGCACATCAGTTTTGTCAACAAAAAAAGCTCTAAGGTGAAAACACTTAAAATGTATTTATAGTAAAATTGTTATTACATGTGTATTTATAGTAAAAAATTATTATATATATAAAAAAAAATCGATGAATTTAAAAGCTCATCCATTGTATAATTATGTCCTATGTATAATAAATCTTATTATTTGAGGAAAGTTTAGAAAGACTTGTTCTATGCTGAAACGAAACGTGTATTTATTTTTTTATCAATACAGCGCTTTGTATAACTGACACAAGTGCAAGATAATATTTTAATGTCATCTAAAGCATAATAGACGATAGATGACATTAAAATCTCTTTCTGTAAGTCCAATTAGATTTTCTTGCGGAATTTGGTTTGCTTAATCAAGATGCGTATCATGATGATGGTCCTTGAATTGCATTAAACATTTAAACACATTGCGTCCCTTTTCACAACCGGTTCCAGCTGAAACAATTTCAGTATTTTATTTTATTTTCATTTGAGAGAAAAATAGTTAGAAGACCGCCATGAGATCACAATATAGTCAGTTCTGTAAATGGATAAAAGTTGATCTTGGCTCTTAAATTCATGTTATACTTACTGACGTCTTTACATGCATTAATTACTTCTTCAATTTTTTCTTCCGATGCCTCATATTTTGCCAGATTAACACGAGCCACTTCCACATTAAATTCTCCATCCGCATTCAACTAAAACAGAGATAGAAATGCATTTCTTATCAGTTTATTTTCTCAATATAGATTATATATACAGGATGTTCTAAAATTTTTGAGGATAATAAATTATTTCAGCATAAAAGTTTATGAAAAACGAAATAATAAAAGTGTACGCCATTTTTTTCGTAAAGTAATTTTGTAAGGCCCGATTTTTCATTATGTGATTAACTTGTGGTTAAGCTTAACCTGATGTTTTATCCAATGGGCTTCATCTATGGTGATGTCATGGATAAAGCTCATTGGATGAAACATCCAGGTTAAGCTTAATCACAAGTTAACCAGATAATGAAAAATCGGACCTAAGTATTAATATTTAAAGTTTACCTATAATCATAAATGTTGATTAAAAAATTATCTGTGCTTGTGATAATATGCATGCAGTGGCAACGTTTTATTCATATCTGTATCATTGCATGCAATCACACGGACCAATGATTTTTCAACTAACACTTATGATTAGTCGAACTTTAAAGTTTACACTTGAAAAAAATACTTTACGGAAAAAGGGCTTATATTTTTATTATTTGATTTTTCACATTGTAAATTTCACGCTGTAATAATATTACCTTCGAATTTTGTTGTTATACTTACTGACGTCTTTACATGCATTAATTACTTCTTCAATTTTTTCTTCCGATGCCTCATATTTTGCCAGATTAACACGAGCCACTTCCACATTAAATTCTCCATCCGCATTCAACTAAAACAGAGATAGAAATGCATTTCTTATCAGTTTATTTTCTCAATATAGATTATATATACAGGATGTTCTAAAATTTTTGATGATAATAAATTATTACAGCATAAAAGTTTATGAAAAACGAAATAATAAAAGTGTACGCCATTTTTTCGTAAAGTAGTTTTGTAAGGCCCGATTTTTCATTATGTGGTTAACTTGTGGTTAAGCTTAACCTGATGTTTTATCCAGTGGGCTTCATCTATGGTGATGTCATGGATAAAGCTCATTGGGTGAAACATCCAGGTTAAGCTTAATCACAAGTTAACCAGATAATGAAAAATCGGACCTAAGTATTAATATTTAAAGTTTACCTATAATCATAAGTGTTGATTAAAAAATTATCTGTGCGTGTGATAATATGCATGCAGTGGCAATGTTTTATTCATATCTGTATCATTGCACGCACGTCACACGGACCAATGATTTTTCAATTAACACTTATGATTAGTCGAACTTTAAAGTTTACACTTAAAAAAAATACTTTACGGAAAAAGGGCTTATATTTTTGTTATTTGATTTTTCACATTGTATAAAATTTTACGCTGTAATAATATTACCTTCGAATTTTAGGACACCCTATATGTAAAATATAATACGACTCTCGCTTACAGTTCCGTATTTCTTTAATAAACAAGTTCTGAAACAGTTTATTTTTTCGTCATTTTCATCTGTTTCCCCTCTCTTTGCAACTGCATCTGATATTTAAATTATTTTTAATGTAATTATTTATTTAAGTTTTTTAATCTTGCAATTAGTTTATTCTTTACTTACTTCTATCGACACCAGATTCACTTATGCATGATTCTTTATACTCTTCAAATTGTTTTCTTTCTTCCTCTGTCCATTCTCGATGACCCTACAATCAAATAATTAATATTTGAGTAATATAATTATTATTCATATATTATGTTAATATTATATATAATATTTAATATATTTTTTAATGTGCTTATATTTAATGTTTCCAACGATTATAAAATATTTCTATAATCAGGGAATGGAAATAACTCGTTACTTGTAACAATGTTACAAATTACTTTTTGGATAACTTCTCTGATACCTGCGCGCGTTACTTTTCTTTTTTTGGTAGCTATAACGGTAATGTAGTTACATTTTTTTAGTGACGGTAACGTATTGTACAATTTTTATCATTACTGGCACACATGATTTGATACAATTCACAATTAGAATTATTTTATATTTCTACATGATATGTCGGATAGATATCTCAGTTTTTCGTATATTTTATACATATTTTATAGAGTTATGAAATAATGTTTTGAACAAAAAAACTAAAAAATAAAGCTAGAGAGTGTCGTTATTGTATATTGTTTTTATCAACATTTAAACAAAAATATTGCAAAAGTACATTTTTTAGATTAATTTTTAAAAAGTAACCGAAAATTAACGAAAAGTTACTTTGTAATGGTACTTTACTGTAACGAGTTACTTTAAAAATTAACTTCCCATTCACTAGCCATAATAATCTCGTGGAAATGAAATAAATATATTTTGACAAAGAAATAATACGCAATCTAAAAACAAATTAGAGAGCTTTGGCAATAGAATTTTAATTTAAGAATGTATGCGAATATATTAGTAAGTTTAATTGAATCAAAGTAATAATGAAAATTAATTATACTAACAATAAGTTGTAGAATATTTTATAGAGAAATAGATTAAATAGATTATTTTTTAGTGGAGAAATAATCTTACCAAGACGGCGACGAAGGAAATGGCAAACAAGATGACAATTGTTTTCATTTCGATTTTTCTTTTCAGCACGATGGGGATTCAAACCTGTGATCAAAGAGGTACTGACTAATCACAAGATAGTGTCTTGAGCTTTTATAGTTTGCGACATAATGACTCTCCTTGATTTCTTCTCTAGCAACATGCGTGGGGAAGTACCCGAATTATATTTGTTATTCTTTCGAGGTAGCAATTGTTGCAATAATAGCAAAAGTATTTGGTTGCTGCAATTTAATTCTTAGCTGTTTTTATCAAGTTTCAATGTAAAATTATATTATAAAAAAACGAATATTAATTTAATCAGAGTAATTCTCTTCGCTCTTACCATACATTTTTGCCATCTTTCAGACAACTGTCGGATACCGCTGCTTCGGAAAAAAATGGTTATTTTAAGTCGATGAATTCTGTGATGAAAAAAATTGAAATTTCCATTATGAAATCTTTGAAACTACTTTTTACATGTACTTATTGTACGACCCAGAGTTTCGCCTAAAGCCAAATTATTTCTTGAGCTTCCGCGGCATTTTTCTTCAGCTGGAACACGAAAAGTAGACAATGCCTGAAATGCTGGTTTTCGAACGATATAGATTTACAGCACTGACATTTTTACACCTTATTTTAAGCTTAAGGATGTAAGCTTCAAAACGACTGAATAGCGAAAAAAAGATTCAAATTTGAATAAATACTGTAATCAATAGAATATAAAGGCCAAGAATTAAGTATGTAGACCTAATAGCGCTTGTATGCATATTTTGAATCCTGCTATTATAATGGTACAGACAATGAAAATACTAATAACAGATTCATTTTTTAAATACATAATACTTATTATATTGTATATTTATATATATACATGTGTTTGAGATGTTTATCATAAAATAAAAAATAAAAATTATATAAGAATTCCGAGTTTTTATTCAATTACTGTAAATCTTTATAATTTGTAAAATAAAAAATGAATGAATATTGAAATCGCGTTAAAGATCCGTATTCATAATGCACTTATAATAATCATATTAGTGCGTATTTAGTATATAGGTCACGTTGCTTATTATAATAATTTCAACAAAAAATTAAAGTGCATATTTATATCGATAAAAGCGTGTTTTGAATATGCCAGAATTTTTTGTAAACTGAACATAAGAAACGCGACGGAAAGAGAATAGTTGCTTTCCATTTTCATACAAGTGATATACTGATTGTTAGTCTAAAGAGTTACGTGAATATTTTATACTCAGATAATGACATTATTACTTACTTACTTTGGTGACAAACAAAAATAAATAAAAAAGGATTAATAAGAGTCAGCGCGGTTAAATCGGCACAAATTAATTATGGTAGAAATGAATACTTATTAGTTGAAATGATTTTTTTTTATTTGAACGTTTGAACTCTCTTTGACATCGTCAGTAATACAGATAAAAGAAAATGAAAATTCGCACATATCTGTAAAGATTAAGTCACTCATAAATTGCTAAAATTGAAGCTTACAGTATCTGACAATTAAAAAAAATGTGTCGATAGAATTCAAATAAAGAAAACACCATTCCAACTGAGTATTTATTTCTGACATAATTAATTTGCGCCGATTTTACCGCGCTGACTCTCATTAGTATTATATTAATTTTTATTTCTATTTTGAGAGTCCATTTTTATTTATTATTTTTGGTGACAAAGTTATCACATAACAATATATACAGGTTTATAAACATCATTTTTAATGAGAGTTAACAAGACTCAGTAAAGCACACACTCTTGAGTTTGTAGATAAAAACTCACGGTCGAAAATCTCACTTGTCAACTGAATAAAAAGAAATATGTTATGACGTCACAAATAAGAATTATCTGAGTTTTGGTGTAAATGGAAAGCAACTAATGTTACATATTTTCTTTGCAGCAAATGTACAAAGAGAGAAAAAATTGTTAACGAATACTATAACTACGTAACGATTGCTGATTGCTTATAGTTATGCACCGAATGACGTATGACACAATAATAAAAAAAATTTTTAAAAATAAAAAACAAATTTTAACGTTATTTAATGATAACATTCATTGAGAAAATGCGAAATGAGATTAATTAATGCTTGAGCATCGCGTTATTATAATTCTATTTTATTAGCTTAACATATTGACTTTATTAAAAGCTATGTTTATTCTAGCTGTGTTTGATTGAGACATGGAACAAAATGCGCGATTTTTCTCATTTTTTTTCGTCGAGATCATTAAATAGAACTACTTCTTGTAAAATAATAATGAAATAGTTGATATTTTCTTCGGTACAAATAAATATAAATTCTCTGTTTTTCTTGTAATTATTCTCGAAATAAAATGCTTAATCTAAAGATGAGTATCTACCGGACGCGTATACAATTTTCTTGGAATTATTGCAGTTACGTTCATTAGAGTTTAATTATTCTGGGAGTCGATTATCTCATACTGCACGCCTAAGCATGCACACATTGCACACACATTATTATTATCATTATATAGCTGATTTTATATAATTTCCTTTCATATATGCATATTAGTGCGTATTTAGTATATAGGTCACGTTGCTTATTATAGTAATTTCAACAAAAAATTAAAGTGCATATTTATATCGATAAAAGCGTGTTTTGTATATGCCAGAATTTTTTGTAAACTGAACATAAGAGTAAAAAGATTATTTAGCACGATAGTTGCGACATTTTACTATATATTTTAGTTTATATATACATTTCATCATTACGAATAATCATAATTCAAATGAAGATTTAAACATGCAAGGCCAGATTATACAGTTACCAACACTGATTTGATAACTATACTGATGCTAGGTATTTGATACTTAATATATAAAATCGAATATATTTAATTGGTTGTAACAGCTAGAAGGAGAGATAAATATATATTATCTAAAAAAATTGGAAAGTTAAGGTTAAATTAATATTTCCAGTGAGCTCACTGAATATTTCCGAAATTTCAAAATATTTTTGTGGCATTTATTGCGACTCTTCTTTACGTCCTGCTGTTGTAGATTTTGTAAGTCTATCCGGAGAGGG